CTCTTCGTGACCAGCGATGGCCCCGCACTCCACCGATGGACGCAACACATGCTTAGTAGTGGACAAACGCGTGGACAACGGTTTGGTCGCCGATAAGGCGTGCGATTATCTCTTAGCCGACAGCCCGTCGGCTGTGTTGACGATTGAACGCATCGAAGAAGTGGCCCAACAAATAATGGACGAAATGGAGTCGTTAACCGAAAACGAGGCCATCGATAGGGGAGTCTGTATGCTAGAAGACAATTGGCCCAACTTTGGCCAACACTTCCCGCCGTCGACAACCGCCTCAATGAGTTTGACTGTCGTTTCGCGCACTCAAGTCCAGCCAATGGTCGACTTTCAGCCGCCGATACAATCGCAACTCCGCAAGACTGGCAACGAAGTCCGCAAATACGGACCAATTGATGGTAAACTTCATGACAAGAGCGACAAATACTGCGAAGTGGTGTCAGTGCCCACGTCTACACACGTGGCACAGATTGTCGGCAAACAAGGTATCGCTTCCATTATCTTTGTCTTATTTTCTTCATATTTCTTATAATTAAGACTTTATTTCATTTATATTTGAAATGCTTTTCCCAACCAATCGTTAGACAGTTTTCTGATGCAATACAAACCTAAAATTTTATACCAAATGATAACTGAATTTATTTGTCTTAAAGGTTCAAAGATTAAGTTATTGCGGGCGAAGTCGCGGACTCACATCCAGACGCCAGTGTCGGGTCAGGAGCCGGTGTTTATCATAACCGGTGTCCGCGAAGATGTGCTTAAAGTGAAGGCCGAAATACTGTCCGCTTCGGACCACTTCACAGCCGTCAGCGAAGAACGCAAACAAAAGTTTCGGCAAAACTCTGACGTCCCGGGTATGTATGGGTGCGCTCTACCCAACCCTCCCGACCATTTCGTTTATCACTACTAATCCGTTTTAACACCAGTTTTATCCGCATTTTTAATCACATACTGTTTACTGATTTAAAATTTCATTTGAATTGTTTTGAAATATCATATGATATCCAATGCTATTAATCAATACTTATAACAAAATTACTTATAATTTTCAATAATAAATATCACAAACGCGTGAAATGAGTCACAAGAAAGTTATTTTCCCATTAATTTGCTCTTAACTCTTATATTTCAACCCTTTTTCTTGTTTTCAAATCAATCTTCACTTGTCTATCACTGAACGCATGTCTGACGTCAATACATAATAGGATCGGTTTGTCTGAATCTAATAATCCCTTCATATATGATCGGTTTGATTGTCGGCCGCAACGGCAACACAATCCGCAACATCCAGAAGATGACCGAAACATACATCGAAACGCCCAAAGTGTGCGAAAACTCTTCGTTCAGAATTACTGGAGTGATGAGGAATGTGGAGATCGCCAAACAGTGCATCATTGAACACGTTATGTCCAAAAGTAACCTCCCCTTTACGGTGGATGTCTTGTTCAATGGTGACCACAAACTCACTTTTAATTAAGTTTTATATTGCATTTTCTTAATTATTCGTATTATAGACACAATAATCCTGTGATTTACTTCGTTTTTGATATGTTTTTATATTGATTTCTGAATTGAAATTCATTTTTTATATGATTTCTAGTGAAATATTTCTTAAACATGTTATTCATTCGTAATTATTCTGATTATTAGTGAGATTTATGTGATGTTTGTTTTTG